AGGACATGACAGTCGACCCGACAATGAGTCCACCCCCTGACACGTGCCGACACCCTCCACCAMCAGTCACCCTCCCAGAGCACCCCATCAACCATGCAGCAACATCCTCCCAAGGGAGGGACCGGTGACGTCAGCCATGGGAGAACAGGAAAGCTGCCGGCTCCACGTCCACGGTCCTTCTCAGCCAGGCCTCAATCAGTAACATTTTACCACAACACTGCTCCATTCTGCTATGTTCTGATACTGTGAGCTTCTTTTTCCAAACCTCAGAGGAYGGAAAAGGATTGAATATGAGTGCTGGTGGAGAATTAAACTACCACAAGCGCAGGTCTGAAGCAGCTCGTTAAAATGGTTTAATTACTTGTCTAAATTATGATGAGCAATGACATGCTTGATTGGTTGTATCAAAGGGCTTTACTGAGGGGAAAATCTACTCGTTTTTTTTTTTTTTTTTACATGACACAATTCAGCCTCAAGTCTTTTGTGTAGCCAGTGAAAGAGTCAAAGCGTGTTTGTCTTCTGTGACAGATTGCCCTTTATGTACCCATGGACATGTTTGGCGATGTTTGTCATCGAAGATTTAACTCTATATCATAACGGTTGCTTCTTCCAATTCATTTCAGCTGTAATCTCATCCTGTTGACTGACTATGTAAATGCATTTGCTACAATACTCAGCCTTTTGATTAAGTCTAAGGTCTCTCTGCCCCTCCGTATAACACRACAATTTAAGAGTCAGGCATAAATTTTATCTCATTATCACCTTCAAACCTTCATGTTTTAGCTTATTAACAAGTAAACACTTTACTGGTRCGCTAATGGGCGCTGTGATAGGAACTCATTGAGAGTTCATTCATATTTTATGAATGGCAGAGGCTCCCGTCGTCCAGGGGTCTTATTTTCCTCAAAAGGTAAATCGACATCAAACGCTGCAACCTTCCAATTAGACAGAACGGCGTTCTGAACATATCCCAGCTCACCTTGAGATCAAGATATTCCCCCAAAGATCCAGGGTATTCCAAGGCCTTAAAWAGCTATCTTCTCTGTCAAAAGAGTAGATCATGGTCACATTTAAATGGCCAATGTTTAGAACTTGCAAAAGGCCTTCTTAACACTTTGGTAGAAAATCAAAACAGATGTTATTTCAACTGAGGTGCGATTCAGTACATTATTATTGCGGGTAGGCAAGTTAAAGAGAGCTGTGGAAAGGCACCAGCTGTTCCAAGTAGGGATCAATGGTCACAGCTTGTATTAGGCTGTCACAAGGATGTTTTCTTGTGCCAAATAGGCAAACAATTTGTAGACCAGCTAATCTGATTTTCTGCCTTGTAATACCCCCTGACCCTTTCGATACACAAGCTTAAACCACAAACAATGAAGTCTTCAAAAACCTTGGACAACGGCAGCAGTTAGAATTAGGATTTAAGGTGGAAGTACGTCCAATTGAAAGTGAAAAACACTTTTTTCTTAACAAGGAATGAATGCCATTAAACAAGCCTGATGTTCTCTATTCCAACCAAAAACCTCATGGTACTCCTTACAGCATGGAATAGCTTTTCTTGAAGGTTTATTTAAAAAAAGGTCAAGTGTACACAATAAAAACATCAATCTGGCAGATCCTCACGCTCTAGTTAATAAATGCGCTGTAGTCTTAAAGTTGCTGTAATCATACCTAACGAGCCAGTWCCATCAAATATCTTCCATTAGCCTTTAATGTTTGTGCATGAGTGTCTGTGTGTTACCAGTATTTCACAACAGGAAAAAAATCCTTGTTCCTTCCTCAAAAAAATAAAAAAAAGCACAATGAAAAGTACCTCTGCCAACATGCCTTAAAGAATAAATCAAAGCCAATTAAAAAAGTCTTATTGTTGTTGTTGTTGTGCAGGGAAAATAAATGAACCCAAGCCAATTCAGTTGGCACCCTTGAGCAGTCAGGGGGACAATGGAGAGTATTTAGCCTACGAAATAAATGCTTTTTATTTATCCAGCCAAGCAAACTTTGACAGTGGGGTTTGGTTTAAGTAGCTCAATAAATGAAATTAGTTTACTTCTATTAAAAATGGAGGTTATAGGCTCTAGAGAACTGTCACTGGCACATAAAAACACTCAGCATCCGCAAAGTGAATTAGATAAAGTTAGCATGCACACAGAATTGGGGAAGGGAAACAAGCAGACACCAGGGGAAAATTTTGCAAAGCAGTCAAATGACCAGACCACAGAATGTGACATAAAAAGGCCAAGGGCTAGTTTCTAGTTCAGTGGGCTTCATTGCCTTCAGGTGGTTTTGGAAGGGCTGTTGCCACCATGTACATTAGTTGCCATTTCATCAGCAGGTGCCCTTTCGTTTTCATGTTTGTGTATCCACATATTTCTGTGTCCTTGTCTGGACTTAGGTCCATGGTAAACGTGAGACATCACACAGAAAGGAATTTTTAAAAACATAATATTTCACCAACAGGGCTGTTGATAAAGATGCTGCATTTTTATTTTCCTTCTTTGCAATACATCAAGTATGCAGAGGCATGGCCGATTGCTGTTTTTTTTATAAAGTGGCCAATGCTGGACAATCAATCAGTCTTCAGCCAAGGTTGGACAAATGAGGGGTCAAGGCAGGTACTAAATAAGACCATGATTGATAGGGTTAGAGTGAGAATAAAGCAATGCCTTGGCGAGTTCGTAGCTAGGCCCTGACGAGTACAAAGCAATACCCTGTTGGGTATATAGAGAGCTGGCAAAATTGGCATAAAATGTATCACTATTAATTTTAGCATTTAGCCAATAATGATTAATATGACAATTAATTTCGTTGTACTCCAGTTTATGTTGGCGTTTCAGGTAGTTAAACAAGTTCGTTGGTTAAAGTTAGCTGGGTTTGATGCACGCCTGATAGTGACAGTTTGTCATGTACAAAAATACATCACTAGTGGCACTAATTAAAGTAATTTCAAAGTTGCTATTAATTGATGACAGTTGATGATTAATTGCATACAATATGATTTTGCCCAACCTTATGGTACGAGGCAAGGCCAAGGTCTAAGACCCATTGCAGTCGGCTTCTTACATGCATCAACACACTGAAATATGGTGACATTTTATTTCTTATCTAAAGCACTGTATTGATATTTAATTAAGGCCTAAAAAGGTAGACTTTCATGCCAGTGGTCCACTCATCTTGTGTTTTAGCCTCGGACTGCTAGTTGGCAGCAGTCAGCTAGCCATTTGACTCCTCCACTCCTAAAGATCCAGAAAGTATAATGCTAGCTCAAGCATTAGCATTGTAAGCAAACATTAGGACTAAGTACCGATGGCTGAATCTGAGCGGATTAGACCGGCACCCGCTGCCTAGGATTGCTAACTGTCCCGAATTAGCTGGGATGTTCCATATTTTAAGCCAAATTGAAGTGTCCTATACGAGACACTCTTTATGTAACGTAAATAACATATAAAACACAGTGAAATAGGGCTGTCGCAAACTATTGTTTTTATAATCGATTAATCACCGATTATTTTTTTCGATTAGTCGACTAATCGGATCATACGTTAATTCAATATAAAACATAGAGCTTATCCCTCCAGAATGCAGCTGCTATTATATAACCATCGTTAGATTTTAGCTACATGCTAACTAAAAATAATTGCTGTGGAAGGCAAATTGTCTGTATAATGTCTTGTGACGTCCACAGTCTACCCCAGTTACCACTACTGTGCATGTGTGTCAAGGACAAAAAGGCAGATGTGGCAGTGGAAGGTGTCAAAGCAGTTTGGAGAAAAACAAAGTAAAGAACAAAAAAGAAAAAGATTAATCGATTATTAAATTAGTCATCGATTATTTTAATAATCGATTAGTCGTCGACTAATCGACTAATCGTGGCAGCCCTACAGTGAAGGCAATATATCACTTTGCTTGCGATACATCACGATATATCATATCGTGATCCCTGTCATGATATGTATCGTATGACCAAATTAAGCCAACACACTGCCCTAATGCATAATGACCAAGACTGCATAAAATACAAATTAGCCTCGAGGTAACAAGCAGGCCAATGGCTAGTTTCTGGTTCACTGTTTTCCACAGGTTTTATATAACTGTAGATTTCAGCTCCTATGCAGCAACATAGCTATACCAAGGCTAAATGTAGGGAAAAGGTTTTTAAAAAATCTCACTGTAGGGACTTCATCAGATCACAGCTATATTRATTTTTAGGAGGTCTGCAAACACGTTTTCCAAATGCTACCAATGATTGGCCCGTGTTCAGTGGGACTGTAGAGGCATGTAGGGGCCCCAGCATCACACATGGAGCACATCTCTCTGGGGAATGTTATTATGAGACACTTAAGCCCCCCCACCCCCACTCACCCCCATCTCAATGAGCCCATGTTTTTCTGGGTAAAGACAGGCAAAGAGGAAATCCCTTACACCTGGACAGAGTCTGTGTGCGGTTTTTTTGTTGTTGTTGTGGCTTGTTTTGTCTCACTTGATGTGTTTGAGTCCCAGACTGTCTGGAACAATGAGCTGGAAGGATGCAGACATTTCCAGGACCTGTGAGCAATCTCAGAATAAAAGACACAGCAGCCTCTCAACACATCTCTTTTACTTTTATTTTGAAAATGTGGTCAAATTCATGGAGATTCTGACAAATAAGCTTTTTTTTCCCCCTTTTCTTTTCTTTTTTTTTTTTTTACACCATTAAACAAGCAGAAAGGAGAGAAAATAGCTAATGATTCAGACTGGAGATGTAGTTTATACCGCGGCAATTCAAAAGATTAAATATGAGGCTTTGGCAACAAATGCATCAGAACAGGTCAGAGTGACCAAATGATAAATCAAACAAAAATTAACAAAACGGATCGAAAAAAAACATTGACTGAAACAGTTCTCTGCACTGGAAACCATTCAGACCCAGTTTACCACCATCCTGACACACACACACGTACCGAGCGACTGAGCGCAGCGGACAGCAGTTTTTACAATAAGAAAAACAGCGAAAATAAACTTACCGACGCCGTATTTCTCGTGTTCTGTAGGTATCCACATGTTTACGGTCCGTACATTTATGAGAGAGGCGGGAATAGCAGCGAAATGTCGGGTCTTAGCTCTGTGTAACGCATTCTATCGCTGTGCTTTCTTGCGGTGAGTAGTAGGAGTCATTGTTTAGGTTACAGGAGGAGAAAGCGCTGCTGCCGCCGCTGCTGCTGCCGCTCGTAGTGGTACTGAGCCGTGCTGCCTTCAGGCACTGTAGGAAATGTGACAACCAACGCAGGGAGCGCACTTTTCCAAAGACTGGAAAAATAAAACAAGTCTATGCTTAAAAGCGAAAACAACTCAAACTAATTCGACTTTAAATTGATGAAGTGTGTTTTGGAACATTTCTGAGCACCTGCAATTTTTATTTTGTTTTTGTTCGTTGGTTCGATACAATGGAATGCCACTCGAAAAGCTATTATAATTTTCCAGGCAGTAGGTGATACATGCTAGAATTTATATGAAAAACATATATACACACACACACACACACACACACACACACACACACACA